CAATTTATTATTTTACCAGTTGTGTTAGCTCAATTCGTTCGACAGGTATTTTGATATGTTTTTGTGCTACATTGATTTATCATGTTTTCCACTGCATTATGATGTCTTGTGTATCTATTTTATTTTTATGAACTTGTTTAATTGCATTTGATTTGATTATTTGATTCTTATCATACAACTTGAGATGTTTTATTTATGTGTAATGTTCTCTTGCATTTTATTGCTGTAGGTGATTTATTTCATGTATTTGTGTGGCCTATGTCAGGGTTTTTGTCCCGTAGAAGGTTTCCCTGGTATGGTCTTGTGTGCGTAATATATTTATTTGTTCTTACGCACAAAAGTTCTGTCTTTTATTTTTCCCGATTATGTCTCACGTCTCTCACATACAAGAACCGATTACACATCGTAGGAGTTCATCCGTGCCACCCATATCTAGCCGACTGCCATCCAAATTCAAAAGTGCCGCGAAACGTCCATCGTTTCGACTTGAAAGGTAGGTGGCTCTGCTTGTAGTTTTTTTTCCCAGAGTTGCCAACGGTAAGTATAGGGTAAGTCAACGTTTACAGTGTCTGCTTGATAGACACGCACAACTCGTATGTACATTTCATCCATTCATTCTTTTACCTACAATTAAGGCGCCGTTGGTTAGGTACCTATATGTGTATAATGGGCGCTTGTCGAACAAATGAATTATATTTTTTACGCAAGATAATTTTCAAGATTTAGGATCAGTGGAGTTGGTGGTTGTCTTGATCACTATAAGTAAACTAAAAGGCAAATTTACCATACCAGCACTTTTTAATACCATAGTGTAAAAGTAAAATAAATATTCAAATTGTAGTAGCTAATTAGCAGTGTGCCGAGTCAGGACCCCATCAACATAGGGGCCCTAAGCCACGGTCTGGTGAGCATAGTGAAAAAATAAGGTTCTGAAAACAACTCAAAGGTATTTCTAAGGTTCATTTCAATGAGATAAGCTCAGAAGCAGAATTTGAAAATAACCTTTAATTTAAACGGCATGGTATACTCAAATTCACTTTAAATTAGTAGAATTTCACTTAATAACTTGCTAGTCTAGCCGTTGAGTGACTCATATTTAATTACTCAATGTTATAACGCTATGTATACAAAACACTCCCAACTAAACACGCTATTTGTAAAATACATCAGCGCCTCTAGTGTTAATCTGATTCGTGAATACGCATATTTATTAGATTTCCGACCCTTAGAAATGTCCAGCTAACTAAGATAGAAAAAACTTTAAATATAAAAGTTGTGCGGTTTGCCATAAGTCGTCAGAAAATGTAAAGTACAAAACAAATGAATATCGCAAAGTTGGTAAAACAAATGAATATCGCAAAGTTGGTAAAAAATGCAAATTTGGTAAATTTTTAATGAAACGTCCTGTATATTTTTTAAAAATTGAATAGACCTTTTCATTCTGATTTCCAAAATATAACCTTTACATACCGGGTGGTGCCTAGAACGACGCAGCATAGGGATTTCAATGGTAATTTCTTTATAGCCAATTACTAGCTCCTCTAATTATTTTAGAGCCAAAGTCTAAAGCGGAATTTATAGTTCCGTACCCGCAACGCCGTACCGTAACGTTTGGAATTAAACCCTACTTGTTGCGCGTGAACATTTATAGTTCTTATTTCTTACGGTAAATCGTGCTAACGCGTTTGTCGTCGGCAGTACTCGGATAATTCAAACAGTTGAGTTTATCCTAACGTTCGTTTCGTTTATTTACAATAATTATTGACACTTTGTTGGTTATTATTATTTTGAAATGCACGTTACTCTTATAGACAGATGACATACAATGGCAGATCTCGTTTCGCACTAATGCGCAAGCTCATCTCTTACCACTACGGTAACTATAAATCGTATAATTTTCGTTAACGTAAGATTTTACGGTTCCGTTCTTACGTTCTTACGGCTACGGAACTATAAATCCGGCTTAAATACGTTTTTTTAGAGAGAAAAATACTGCATCTGTTCATACTATTACTTATAATTTTTTTTGCCGATTTCTACGGTTTTGAAAAACGGAAAATTATGAGTAATGGTATGAACAGATGCAGTATTTTTTTCTCTGAAAAAAACGTATTTAGACTTTTGCTCTAAAATAATTAGGGGAGCTAGTAATTGACTATAAAGAAATTACCATTGCCCTATGCTACGTCGCGCTAGGCACCACCCTGTATACCGTGGGTCCCAGGGAGAACGCATCATAGGGAAACAATTAGTGTATTTTTTCGGGAAGAATCCAGGAGCCCTTTGATGTGTATTTGAAGTTAGCGTTCAACGTAGGTACGTTATCGCGCTTGCCTGATGCTAGAAAGAGATTGGAGTAGTAAACGATTCAAAAGCCTCGTGTTATCCTTCGCGAAAAAGTACATTGCCGTTTCCCTATGGTGCTTTCCATCTGGGGCACACTGTATAACTGTTGTATTTAAAGGTTTGTCTATCTTTTATAATATACGTGCTAGGTACTGCCTACATTTACGGAGTAACCCTGTACAGGCTTTGTTTATTCATTAAATTAATAAATAGCTCGCGTCTCCACCGCAGTAATTTTTTGAAAACATTCCTGTACAATGGTGACCTATAAAAGAAACTTTTAAGAAAAATGGTTTTTAAAATAATAATGTACTAGCTAGTAACTAGAGGCTTATGTACAATTCATAAAAAAATAAACTTTAATCATTCAGAAAAGTTCATTTTTTAATCGATTTAAAACAAGTCGACTTTCTATAAATTGTAGAGGTCTTTGCTATATTTTTTGTTGTTTTTTTCATTTTATTTATCTTAGGAGTCCCCGTTGAAGTGTCACGTTTCGTACCACATTCAAATTTCGGTAGCAGTCGGTTAGGAACGGATGTTACGAATAGGGCTCCTGCGTTATGTTCTACTATGGCAGTTCTCTTTTTGTGTTGGGACGTGAGACTCAATCGAGAATGAAATTGAATGAAAGTTTTATGCTTAATAAAAGACAAAAAAATAAAATATATTAAATGGGAGCCAGAAAAACCTTCATTGGACAAAAAACAAAAGAACTCATACTCAGTCGTCATATCAGAACCTCATCGTTGTTAGCCTATACCCTAATTATTATTTGCGGGCACGTACTTACTTTAGACTGAAGGCGAGACACTCTGTGTAGGTATAATCAATATTTCTCAAAGCATTACCACGATACAAAATACGTAAAAGTAATTGTAAAATATTGATGACACTTACATACCCAATGCGGTTTATGGACACTTTTTATTATAACGTGGTTATACGCGGGACTCGCTCTTTTTTTAACGTAAAAGTTATCCCTTAATATCAGTTACTATAAAAAAACTTCTTTAACTTGAAATATTCGTACCTTTCTAGTTCATGTAATATTTAAAACGGGTTAAATTACTAACATGCGGTCGGTATAGGAGATCGCATCCAGTATTCCTATCTGGAAAATATAGTAAAACTTATCTTCGGGAGTTACGGCGTTACTGCAACATATAAATTTTAATACGAATACGATACCCATTCGAAACCTAAACATTTTGCATTTAAATGTTTCATTTCTTCTAGTCTCAGTTTTTTCACGCATATGTTGAGAGGGAATTATTTATTCTTGTTTTGGTTTCTGTTGGGGTTTATTTTTTCTTGTTTGAGTTGAATGTTTTGGAAATGTCGCCAAATCGCATCAAACAACGACGTTTACTCAATATAACATTTCCTGCTGGCATTAGAAATCTAACTCTATTAGGTAAGTTGCATTTTTCGATAAAAGCTTATAACTTCTTTGTTTATGAAGTTATCGGAAATGTGTTTACATGGTCTTAAGACACTTTTTTGAGAAGAATAGAATGGCTTTGAAATGTTTCAAAAACAATAATCAGTTTTCATTTTCAGCACAAGTTGTGTTTTTTAAATATTGTAACGTAAATTTAATTACGTGATTTATTTACTTACAATTAATTAACAATAAATATATAAGTCTTGAAATGGAATAATTTATATCAGTTAATTAGTATTTATCACTCACAAATACACAATTTATAACAGCGCGAACTGTTTATTACTTTGGTGTTAAAATTGGAACTGACTGAAGGGGAACGGCTTGCGTGCGCTCTCTCCATGTGTTAGAAGCAGACAGAAATATTAATTACATTAATTTTAATTAAGGGTAGTCTGGACTTAATTTTTTTAGGTAACCATTCGCAATGTGTTTGTTTACATATTAAGATTGCTAAAAAATGTATTTCATTCGGTAAACAAATCAGGGAAGGTTGACCTTGTATGGGTTCTTGTGCTAATATCTGTTTTGTATCGGGCGATCAAAAATGAGTGACTTTCGAGTCGCCTTTGGAAGTTCGAGTTAAGTACGATTTCCCATGTAAACAAAAATTCCAAAGGTGACTCGACGGTCACTCATTTTTGATCGCTATGTATAATGAAAAATGCACACCGCTCCTAATGGAAGTAAAGAGGCCACCCTTTATAATATAATCGATTAATTTAGCCACCAAATCTTCATCTTTACTAGGTAAAGAGGTATGCTTAGGGATTTCGACGAAAAGCAATGAACACTTCAATTTTATTCTGAGAACAGTTTTTTTAACCGAGAGCAAAATCCGAGGCAAAACACCAAGAGTCTCTGAATGTCTTTCAAATTTAAAGTAACAAAACACACACTATAAATTGGTATGGCATTTTATTCTGTCGATGACGTGCAACGGAATTTATATTGAACAAGTTGTACGAAAATACTCCACAATATCAGCTCTATCAGGCAGTATAGGCTTTGGTAGACTGCATCAGCATTTCGTTTACTTATCTTCGTTTCAATGAGAGAGAACATGAGGAAATGGAATAGACTGCTTACGCTTAGTGTTTAATGAAGATGAAGTGCCAATGATCTAGTTTCTAGTCGATCAGCTTGATTCGTTTCCTACGCCACTGCCGTTTATAAAACGCCAATTTACCAAGAAATTCCAATGGTATCGATACAAATCAAGTAATTAGTTGATAAGATAATGTGTCGATTTATCTATTTGTTTTGTAATAAGTGAACTTTAATTTCGTTCTTGAGTTTAGTAATGATGGCAGCCAGAGACGAAGTATCGAGTGAGTAGGTATTTTTTGATTTAAGTAGTGCATTTACAGACACTTAATAATTAAGGTACTAAATTTGCCCATAGCGGTTGACCGGCAAAATGGAATAAATTTTGACAGATTGATGTAATGTGTCAAGATTTTTGTGGCTCCTGTCGGAAGGAGTACATTATATTAACCCTTACCTACTTACCTATAGAGATAATAGAAGGTTACCGCTACTCCACCACTTATTACTAAGGATGTGTAATGATAGATAACATTATTATGCAATTTTCTCTTGCCGATATATTTATAAATTACATAGACCGCTTCATTTCAGCGTGAACGGCAATTTTAGCCAACAAAGTGATGTGGGCGAAACTGCAGCTTCTGAAGAGGTCCGCAAGAATTCCATTGGGAGCACCAATGCGACAAAGTGGCCAGAAGTGAAATTAAGGGAAAAAAGGTGAGAAGCAACGATTTTGGATAAATACAATTTAAATGCAAAGTTGAAACTGGAAAGCATACACGCAAGTGTAGTTTCAGTTTCAAATCTTATCGAAGCAACGGCATTCTTTTTAAAAGTATAGCTGAATTAAACAATAATTCTTACTATTTCCTAAGAAATTAGGGCATACATTTAAATAATCGTTCCTATTGAAGGCAATAAGATGCGTGGTGTTAGTTAGAAGTTTTATTTTGCAATTCCTGTATTATTTAAACACAAAGTCATTAGATAACTAACGATCCGTTCACTTCAATACTCCTCTAACGATCAAGTATTGGTAGCCTAACTTGATTATTATTACTTCATTAAGTGGTAGCGGAGATGCTTCACTCAAGGTCAAGCCACACCCTCTCATCGCCTGATTGATGTCCTTATGTTGGTTCTTGTCTCGCCCATAAACAATGGAAAATATTTGGTTCTTTACACACAAATCAAAATCATAAAATGTATATGTATTTAACTCAGTTAGAAGACTTCTGTAACTTAGTATTGCATTTAAATTGGAAGCTTTTTATCTTCTTTTGACTGAGTTAGCAGTTAAAGAATGTTTTTATTGATTGTTTAAATGTCAAAATTCGAACCCGTACGTCACTTAACTAAAAAAGTCAATTTTACTGTCGAAAGCTGATTCGATCTAACTCTCGCGTGGGATATCTCTTGGTGTTGATATTGTTTTCTTAAAATCGCATGGAATAATCTTCATTTAATAACCAATGAATTTACTTTATGTTATAAATTTTTGCTTAACGCGTTCCCAACTTGCTTGGCTTAGTGTGGAACTCTTTTTAACTGTGCTCGTTTGCGCGCATAAGATGTGGTCGCGTTTACGAACTATACTACTTTCCACTACCAGCGTGATAATCTCAAAAAATCTCTCTCTCTTTTTTTAGTCCCCACTTTTCCCAATTTTATAAAATACGCCTATAAAATGGTGGCTAATCGCCCCTATTTAAAAAATCCGTTGCCAAAACCAACGGCCATAAAAAATCATGAGTAAGCAGTTATCATGCTGCGACGCGAAACAAATCCCACTCGTTAGAAACGGACACCTAGAACCCATTAACTTTCTCGGCCAGTTCCGTACCGCGAAATCATTGACTTAAACATAGAACGGCAAATTGATTGACTTAAAAATTGAGCAACACAATTTTGGGGAAACCAACCCTGTAATGAAATCACTCTGTACAACGTACACCCATCTAATATTAAAAAAACGAAACAAATTAAATGCGTGCGCGGGTTCCCGTGACAATATTCATCAGCGTTCAGAACAAAGAATGCTATGCCGCATGCGTCGACGTTGACATACCGGCTTATAGCTCAGTGGTAGAGCGTTGGGCTATAAATCCGGAGGTTGTGTGTTCGAACCTGGTTTGAGGTGAATTTTTCATCTGTGGCAGAGATGGGAATTTCCTTAGATCAGTTTCGAGCATTCTGCCGGCTACTCCGAATTAGGTTTTCCTGCAGTTTTCCTAATTCGTAAGGTAAATATCGGAGTAGTATAGAACAACTTAAGACCTTCTGCAGGGGCACCTCTAAAAAGCATTATGCGGTTCAGTCTGTAATTGGGCGTAAGCCTGTTGAGGGCCTAGAACAAGAGGGACAATAAATAAATAAATAAATTATTAGAAGGAGGAGGAAAACGCGACAACGGGTCCCATTTTACCATGTGGCCACTGGTGTATCGTAACAACATTAGCTAACATGACGATGAATGACTACTGTAAACCTTGCGATAAATATATACGACATTTCTGCACTGCGAATGCCACAGCCAGTGCGTCTCGCTGGTTGGTGGGTCTCTTTGCAGGATCGTACAAAGACGAGTTTGAATTTTAATTCGTTAGAAGTAATATCATGGTACCTTAAGGGTGTTATTCTTGTATCTAAGAAGCGTCGCTCAAGTTTTTGCCATCTCCGCATCAATGAGACGCGTCGCTAGGCGTCTTCAGCATCATACGGAGGTGCTGTAAGCTTTTAAGCGTTTAAGGCCGGTGCATTTCTCAGCCCAAACGGGATACGTTTAAAGTGATAAATTTCGAACGGTGTAATAAACCCTGTCTTATCATTATTTTGTTCGTTTACAAACAGCTAAATTTGAGTAAATCATCCATTCATGGGAATGGATATAAAACAGGGACACAAATCCATAATTGCTTATTATTTCTAAACGGCTTCTGATATGCCATTTCGTTTTTTTTTGTAAAAAATTATGACTGCAGTTAATATTCTACAAGTTTCTTTGCTTTTTTACATTTCATGCGTTTTAAATCCAATGCACGCGATTGTAATTTCCGTAAGAAACCGTAACACTCCACCTGCGAAAATGTGAAATCAAACTTGCCGTGTCTTTCTTGTTTCCCAATTTCCATAGCAGTTCGTACACCACCACTGTGGGCGAAACCCAAATTGGCGGAAAGATAAATCGAATTATTACTGTTATCTCTCTAACTACAAAAGTGTTAAACCCGTTCAAGAGGTAAACCGGACGTGGGAAAACTAATTCCATTTTACTTCCAGGTTACCGACCGGCCAAGAAAAAAGCGCAGCAGAACGAAGACGACATTCCAGAAATCGCTTGTCTAATCGACGAAGTACAGGATTTGTTAGTGCCGAAGAAATGGCAGCAGCCGCCACTTTACACAACGAAAATACCTCACTGTCATGAAATTATGTTTTACTTTAATACGGCCATAATTTATATACTTATGTATACCATCTACGGATGATAAATATTTATTTTATTATACATAGTGGTCTATATTTGGGTATACCTACAATGACTCTATCAATAGAGACAGTGTCATGCGCTGGTGCTATTTTCTATTGGTCCGCCATTTTTAACCATCTATACCGGATTGGGTAGAAATCAAAATGACGATAGTCATAGCGCTGGAGACATTATGTGACAATATTATTGTAACCATAGCAAAATCAATGATAATTTTGGAAAAAAAAACATGGCGAACACCGAGCATATGGCCACACTGTATACTTAAATACAGTGCCTGTATAAAGACAGTGTTGTCATAATGCTCCATGTCGGCCATGTTTTTTTAAATTTATCATTGAGCTGATTGGTATGGTTACAATAGGCGCTTTCCATTCGAAGTTGATTTACTCCCTGAGTGCTCTGCACCTTTGCGCTACTCTGTGACTACACCGTTTTTGGAAAATGGAATGTCAGTGAATTAAACAAACAAGTTCTAACCTCGCAAGTGTATTAAGCTCTACAACTGTCGCCCACCAACTGCAATGGTGTATCAGGGGGCAGGGGAATGCAAAACGAGCTGTTGAGGTAAATCAGTGAGGTAGTGCTTCGATAGTACTCTAATTTGACCATCGGAAAGCGCCTATAGTAATGCTGCACAATTATGTCCAGCAAGATAAATTCATCACCTTGGTTTCCTGGTTAATTTCTAGCAATCTGGTGTATTTGGTTAAAACATTGCGGATCTCGACTACCAATAGAAAATAGCACCGTCATATAGAGTCATATATTTAGGTAATCTTAAAAACCTTACGGGTATGTATATGTGCATTAGACGTAGCTGCAAAAATTCGTAGCGTACAGTGACTTTTTGAGACAGTGACGAGTTTCTAATCTTTAATTCGTTGTTGAGATCTGCTACATGTATTTGGTTATTGTGTATTGTGTGTTGGCTACACTACAATTGTATTGGTTTTTGATGATTTCTAATTTGAATTTATGCTCTTTTCCTCTCTCTTTCTCCTTTTATAGTACTTATCTACTGTTGTGTAAACGGCTTCACGCAGACGTTACTTTGGTTTGAGAACCTTCCATTAGGTAGGGCCACCCTGTATGTGAAACACTTTTTAAACGTAAATCTGATGGGTTTCTACGAATAAACACAAAGTGTCATCGTTTCGTTTGAATTTGGATCTCAGTATTTGTTTTTCCTTCTAGAAATTTATGTAGATTATTTTTGTTTTAATTTTACCGCTTTTGTACATTATTCAATTTAAGTAAGCTACTAGAAGCAACACACATCTGGTCGTATTTGGCGTGATTTATAAAAGGTTTTATCTGGTCGTTTGCGATAAGCAGTTTTATCGTCAGGTGACATTTAAATTAGTGCACATGTGGTTTTGATAAGAAATTGCGGGTGTTTTACGAAGATGTGCGCGTTTCTCGGCGTAAGTGGGGAAACGGGATACGTTTTGTCGAAGCGTTATTGGCAGTGTTATTGTGATTAGCGGTTTACTACGTGAAAATGCATAAGGAATGATTATTCTGATGGTGATTATGGTGGACGCGGTGGAGAGAGAGCTTTATTTGTCGTAACGTCACTTTACTATGAATTAGAGTACCACTACTCCGGTCTATTTCTCTGGTTAATGTATATTTTCGGGTTTATGGAATTGACATCACGTTCGTAAAGATTTAGGAAAGTTGAAGACATCGTCGGTAAGTCAGTATCAAATCATATTTTGTGGAGATGTTACTTTGGAAATCCGTTATAGCTCAGTAGTCCAGTAACGGGCCACTTTAGGGGATGTGCTTATTTAAACTGTAGTGTACTTAACCCCAGGTTCTACGCTAACTTCACACTACAAGAACACGGAAAAAAAGTCAACCCGGCAACGTTTAAAAATAGCCACCCGAATGACTATTCCCTCCAAAACTAAACAAGATCCCGCTTAAATTTGAAAAGAGCACGTGATAAAACATCTAAGACAGGGCCCCATTACGTTAGTTGTAAACAACGCTTTGACCTGAAGCACAGTAGGGAAGGAACGTAAAATAAAACACTCAAATTGTGAAGTTTGTTTAATAATGATCCCAAATTATTAAGATTGTGAAAGCTCGGAAATTTAAGTTAAAATAAATTACATTGAATAAACTTTGTAAATGGTAGTTCACCGAATAGAAATAGAAATAGGCTGGGGAAAAAAGAACTTACCAATAAAAAAAACTAGCCGTCAAATTAATACCAAATTGTGTTGTAAAATTAATTGTTTGTAATGATGTGAATGCGTAACATAAAATTATAAATTTATAACATCACAAAAAGTAGCAGGTAAACTTGAAGAGGTAACATATTGGTTAAAAACAAGTTTTGAGAATTATGGGTCAGGTAAGCACGTACCAGGATTCTAAGAAAGGATGAAATACACAGGATGTGACTCATTTTTGGTTCAATAAAGTCCTTTTGTTAAAAGCAAGATGGAAAATTACATGACCTTGTAGGCAAATTTAACTAAAACAAGATATGTGGAAATTATTAAATCGTCACTCATTTATCGCACATAGATTCTAAACTGAAGACTTTGATTAGCATAATCCCGCTCCTGCAAGATAGGTAACCCGCCCCTGGTTTCGGGGTTTCGACCCTACAGTTGAAAGTCGAAGACAATCACGGAATTAGGTGTCGTAGCTCAATTTTGACTACAGTATTTACCACCCCCGTGACTGCTTCATTCACGGAGAAAATTGTTAGTCACATACATACAACGAATCGGTAATTTCCACATATTAAAACGAAATGATCAAAACCCTGATCAAAACTTATATGAATGTTACTTCAGAGACAAGACCAAGTAATCAACACATAAACATACATTAAGCATACATTACACCAAAAATGTAAACAATTACAAACAATAGCATAACGGTATCACATATGTGATTCTGCATTGCGGTTAAACCAAGTAAATTTCAAAAACAAAGATTCAAACACACACAAAAATATAAAATGGGGCATACAAAACACAAATACGATATAAAAAATGCAAAGATTACTAGCTGCATTAAAAAAAACACAAAATAACAACAAACATTTATGGAGCGATGCGATCACGACCGACATTCAAGACAAGATGCCAAACGTAACCCCCGTTCATGCTTTTTAGATGGCGCAGGCAGTTTTTTCCTACCTAGAAATTGCATGGTTGCCAACTCTCAAAAATGTAGGTATGTATCGTCGTAAATTGTATATACAGGGTGGAACCTTTCAAAACTTTTTTTTATTTTTAGTTGTAGAAATCGGCTGTATATAGTCAGTCCACAATTTTTGTAACACCCTGCACACATTTGGGATTATTTAAAAAACTAATGTTAAAGTTTGTCTAAGTTTAATAGCCCAAAGGTATTAAATTTAACGGAAATCAGAAATGTGCCACCTGGGGGGTAGGGGCGCGGATCGCCGACAGTCTTCGTGGGTCAAATTGTATACGTATCAGGAATTAAAGATGCCTTTTTATACCTGCAAAATCACCGTTTCTAACTAGGTGTTTGTAGATGAACCACATTTTCCCAAGATTGACGTTTCACGATTTGTTTAAATCTTCCGGACGTTTCCTTATTACTTCGGTCCACGAAGCCTCCTGTAATTTTTCTAAATTAACATAGCGAACAACATTTCCATAGGAGATGTATAAAACATGAGAGTAATACATAACAAGCATGCAAGTGACAGGCAGAAGGAGTGCTACCCTCAACACACATTTTGCATTGTATAAATACAAATAAAGAAAGAGCTAAGAAGACATGATTTATGTTACCATTTATTACATCTGTACAAAGAAGAGAAAACCCGCAAAAACGCTACTTATTCGCATTAATTTACTCCGTTTCATGTTCATGCTGTGATCTACGAATACGTTTAAAATTCAGGAAACGAATTGTAAACAAGTTAAAAAGTAATCGTAAACGATTTACATAAAGCGCATTTCCACTTGCATTCATTTCCTATTTGTAAGACGCAACTTTTGTTAAAATTGTATAAATCCGGCCACAAATATGAAAGATAGCGTTGCACATGTGCAATCCATTTTTGAGGTCCTACTTCAATTTCAGTTTATAAGAAAAGTTTCATTTCAATGCTTTTCTAAATAAGAAAGTTGGAACTGCGCATGCGCAAACCTAAATTTTGAAACTGGCATTAGGTTTTCCTTTATTCCAAGTGCCTATGTATAAAATTTCATCTAAATGCGTCCATAACTAAAAAAGTTGGCACTGCGCATGCGCAAAACCAAATTTTGAAACTGGCGTTAAATTTGCTTTTATTCCAAGTGGCTATGTTTCAAATTTCATTTAAATACTTTTATAATTAAAAAAAGTTTGCAATTCGGTTTATAAATGGTCGAGATGTGAAAAGGGCACTGTGAATTTTGAATCGATTCGATTCAACTTTTGGCATTGCATATTATATGGCTAAAGCATATTGAATTTCATGCAATTCAGTTCATAACTAACGGAGATGTAAAAGCGATCGGACATTTCTAAACAAAGTTATCGTTCACACGGACAGATAGATGGACAGACGGACAAAGGAACAGACGGACAGACCAACAGGCAGACGACAGATAGCAATGCAAAATTATAAACGATCTCTAGGATCGTTAATAAACGGCAAAAGTGTAAAATTATGGAACATGTAAAAAACGGTTTTTTGTTTTTTTACAATAACTTTTTTTGTAAGCGGTACAGAAAAAATTCCTTCCTTGGTACAAAACTGGATTCCATAACGAACCAAATAGTGAAAAAAGTAGAACAATAGCTCTTAAGATAAAGAACCAGTAGCGTCGCAAAACGAGCGGACGGACGGACGGACAAAGCGGCCACAATAGCGCATTTTTTTTATTGTGGAAATGCGCTCAAAAGAAGACAATTTCATCACTACAACGCACAAAACCAATGTAACCTGTCATAGGATTTCGTTTTAACTGAAATATTCAGTTTTATACGACCTGACCCCTTCGTTATTTTATTTTAGTCTTTATCATTTATTATTAGTCATTGCTCAAAAAGAGGTATTCGCCAACCCTTACAGATCAAAAGGCCACACAATAGATTTCTAAACATGCATTTATTATTTTCAAAAACTTTTTAATTTTGTTTTGTTTCACACATAAACAATCGGCTTGCCTAAATAATAGGAGATCCAAAATGTACTCTGTTGTAAACACACGTGACAAGATTGTGACATGAAGGACGTACTTCGATTGATTGTCTGCCTATACCAGGAATTTCAAATAATTATAATATGTGTAAATGTTCCTATGTGAACAATGTCAAAGTGGACGCTGAGGTTTGGCCCAGGCGCCTGAATTAATGACGGGTCATTAATTGTTAGTCAAATTTTCTTTTAAAATTATTCACTTATTCTGTTGGGTGCTTTACGTGTAAACACAAAATAAGTATTGCGTTTCTAGTTGTATCCAAGTGGTTTATTTGTCCTTGTAAAAGATTATTTCCTAGAATTGTTAAATGAAGGCAATTCCTCGTTGATTTTTGTTATCAATTTTGCTTTGTTAAATCATTTAAGTGACAATTCTGTTTTAATTTATGGACTCTTTGAGTACTTTTGTTAAAAGGTTGATGTAATGTATTAGCGATAGGAATGCCTTTTAACGGGAAAAAAACTACATGTTTTTCGTAGAAATTGGTATCTAAGATGAGAGAATTCCGCGTGAAGTTTTAATAAGGCGCGCGGCAAGAAACGGAGTTGTGATTGGCTGTTGTGTTGCTACGTTCCATTAATTGGGGGAAGTTTTTTCGAATTTTGGAAGTAGGAAAGGCACATTAATTACCGGAATGGGGGCATCCCGGCTTCATTTTTTATTACTGATCTACAAAGTACATTAAAAATAAAAAGACCCACGTGGTGTCCTCAATTTTTATTTGCGAGTAAAATAAACCCAAAATAAATTATTGAAAAGCTGTGTTTTTAGTCCGAATTTGAAACGCTTCAGTCGAAATACGTCACAAACCTACAACCAATCACGTAGAAGTGAGCCGGCAACCTTGTGCGAGGGTCTGACGTTTGTCGGATGTGACGTTTTAAGAGGCATGTTTAACTGCATCACAGCCGTCTATAATTACAATTAATTATAGACGGTTGTGACTGCATCTAGCGCGAAAGTGAACGACAAGTGACAAGTGCCTGTGACAGATGACGCAAGTTACAAATGACATTCTCCTGCAATATTGCCAATTCGTTATGTCATCTGAATGGTTCTAGGAGCTGATTGGTCGGGCTTATTACGTCACAGAGCCCGCCACAATCTTCTCGTTTTGAATAAAACCCTAATACCGCACATGTTCATTATTTTTTTGCTAATCAACCTCTATTTTTAAATAAACTTTTACTGTCCACAAAAATGTTTTATGGTTTCACGTACACGCTTATTAAATTAGAACTACGGAATTCAACTATACTGTAAACCCCCATTGGTGTAAGAACGGGGCCTTTTGCCAAATTTCATGGTTCATTATTATTATTAATTATTATCGAACGCTTATGTGTAATGTGGGGTGTCTAAAACGGCCGTTGTTATTAATTCCTGTAACTCGTATGTTTATTCGAACCCTTTAACGATCCAGATAGTTGTCTCATACTGTATTAAAAATTAATTTGATTGATCCGTGGCCAAAGTTTATTTCGGGTGTCTTCAAAATTTGTGTAGAGTTTAAAGAATTTGATCGTGGCTATTATTTGCCGTAGAATGGAAGTCGAGATTGAAATTTCTCATTGTGCCGGGATTCAGATGTCTCTTGGGAAAATTTTAATAAGAGAGCTGGCTGGGTCTGAGGTATTCTGTGTATGGTTCACTTTGGCTCAATGTTACTGTCACAGCAATATTTACGTTTGCTCCATCACGGCACAGCGTCTGTGATTGGTAGAGGGGACGATGGGCGTGGAACAAAGGAAAACTGCTCTTGAAATTTCAAGACCAAGAAGAGTCAATGCATAACACTTGTTGTTGAGCAATTGAGAAAAGTAATATTCAACCAGAGTGAGTGGGAAGAGGAAGAGTGCGGGAGGAGGAATGCGGAAGGAAGAGTGCGACAGAAACAGTGCGACAGGAAAGATATGGAAGGAAAAGTGCGGCAAGAAGAATGCGGCAGGGATTACTGCAGCAGAAAGACTGCGGATGGAAAAGTGGGTAAGCAAGTGTGCGGCAGGAAGAGTGAGAAAGAAAGAGTGCGAAAAGTAGAGTGCGGCAAGAAGAGGGCGGGAGGAATAGTGCAGCAGGAGGAGTGTGCCAGGAAAAGTGCGACAAGAAGAGTCCATCAGAAAGAGTGGGAGAGGAGGAATGCGGAAGAAGGAATGCGGCAGAAACGGCGCGGCAGGAGAAATGCGGCAGGAAGGGTATGCCAGGAAGAGTGCAGCAGGACGAGTGCGGAAGGAAGAGTGTGGCAGAAACAGTGCGGCAGGAAATATGCGGCATGAAGAGTGCGGAAGGAAGAGTGCGACAGGAAGAGTGCGGGAGGGAGAGTGTGCAAGGAAGAGTGCGGGAGGAAGAGTTCAGCAGGAAGAGTGCAGAAGAAAGAGTGCAACAGCAAGAGTGCGTAATAAAATGTGCAGCAGGAAAAGTTCGGCAGAAAGTGTGCGGAAGGATGAGTACGGAAGGAAGAGTGCGGGAGGAAAAGCGCAGAAAGAAGAGTTAAGCAGGAAGAGTCCAGTAGGAAGAGCGTAGAAAGAAGCGCAACAGGAAAAGTGCGGAAGAAAAACGCGGCAGGAGAAATGCAACAGGGAAAGTGCAGCAAGAAGAGTGCAACAAGAATATTATAGCAGCAAGAGTGTATCAGGAAAAGTGAAGCAGGAATAGTGCAGCATAAAGGGCGCAGAAGGAAAAGTGCGGATAGAAGAGTGCGAGACAAAGAGTGCGACAGGAAAAGTGCGGCAGGAAGAGTGCGAAAGGGGAAGTGCGGTAAGTAGGGTGCGGGAGGAACAGGGCGGCAAGAAAAGTGCAGCAGGAGGTATGTGCCAGTAAGAATGCGGCAGGAAGAGTGTGTGAACAGGAGTGCGGAAGGTAGAGTGTGACAGGGAGAGTCCAGCAAGAATACTGCAGCAGGAAGAGTGCAGGAAAAATAGTGCAGCAGGAAGAATGTAGCAGGAACAGTCCAACCAGAGAGAGTGCAGCATGAAGAGTGCGGCAGGAAAAGTGCACCAGGAGGTGTGTGGAAGGAAGAGTGCAACAGGAAGAGTGCGGAATGAAGAGTGCGACAGGAAAAGTGTGTCAGGAAGATTGCGAATGGAAGATGTCCATTAACCTAGCAGAGCAAGGTCAGCAGAACACAATCAAACATATTGCATAATTAGGTGCTAATTAGGTGCTAATTAAGTGCCCTATTCCCGAATTAAATGCTCCTTTTTAGCGCATTTCCACAAAATAAAAAAAAATGCGCTATTGTGGCCACTTTGTCCGTCCGTCCGTCCGTCCGCTCGTTTTGCGACGCTACTAGTTCTTTACCTTAAGAGCTATTGTTCTACTTTTTTCGCTATTTGGTTCGTTATGGTGTCGAGTCTTGTACCAAGGAAGGAATTTTTTCTGTACCGCTTACAAAAAAAGTTATTGCAAAAAAAACAAAAAAACCGTTTTTTACATGTTCCATAATTTTACACTTTTGCCGTTTATTAACGATCCTAGAGATCGTTTATAATTTTGCATTGCTATCTGTCGTCTGCATGCTGGTCTGTCCGTCTGTTCCTTTGTCTGTCTGTCCATCTATCTGTCCGTGTGAACGATAACTTTGTTAGAAATGTTCGATCGCTTTTACATCTCCGTTAGTTATGAACTGAATTGCATGAAATTCAATATGGGCATAGCTTTAGTCATATAATACGCAATGCCAAAAGTTGAATCGAATCGATTCAAAATTCACAGTGCCCTTTTCGCATCTCCACCATTTATAAACCGAATTGCAAACTTTTTTACTTATAAAAGTATTTGAATGAAATTTGATACATAGGCACTTCGAATAAAGGAAAATCAAACGCCAATTTCAAAATTTGGTTTTGCGCATGCGCAGTGCCAACTTTTTTATTTATGGAAGATTTTAAACGAAATTTGATACATAGGCACTTGGGATAAAGGAAAATCAAACGCCAATTTCAAAATTTGGTTTTGCGCATGCGCAGTGCCAACTTTTTTATTTATGGAAGAATTTAAACGAAATTTGATACATA